GTGATCCTTAAAGAAGATAATGTACAACCTTTGCAATGGCCTTTATGGCGAATAATGAAGACATATAAGGGTAATGATGGATTTATACGAGTCGTAGATGTCAAAACCGCAACAGGCATGTTAAAGCGACCAATTCACAAACTAGCACCCTTATTTCCTGAAAACAAACCTATTAAAACACAGGAGAATCGCCATAACAAAGAAGAACGAATGGACAATGAAATAGTCCCACGAAAACAATGACGTGTGTCCTCCAATATAAAATTAACTACAGTACTGATATCTCTACTTTTACTCCCGATTGTTCTTTGTTCACCAGTAAACGTAACTGAACTTCGCTCCGCTCCTGGCATACATTTTGAACAAGTAGGAACAACAAAATTGATAACATCCCACTGGAAAATGATAATCTATTACGATTTAGCTCCATTTAATACAGAGCTGGACATACTAAAGGATTCAACGTTGAATCTTTTGAAGCTATGTGATCAAAGCAACTTAAACTCAACATGCAAGTTTGTGGTTCATCATTTCCAGCAAGCAGAAATTGAATTAAGAACAGCATTTGAATTTATGTCAAGCGCCCGAAATAAGAGAGGGGCAATCGATTTAGTTGGGAATATAGCAAGTTCCCTGTTTGGAGTACTCGATTCCAATTATGCAAGTGACATGTCGAAGACGATCAAAACCCTAGAAGATCATGATGACAAACTCAAACATCTGCTCAAAAATCAAATATCAATAATTGACTCCACAATAAACGTTATAAAAAAAAACCAGATAAGTCTCAAAAATAATTTCCAGGGTATAGAGACTCAATTAAACGCGATCTCCAAAAGGTTAGTTAAGGACGAACATGACCAATTATATGGCAATATTATTAACATGCTGACCATCCAAATGACAATCGCCACGATAAATTTGCAACGTACGCAATCCACAATCATGGATGTTCTCATTGATAGTCATCACGAAAAAATTAACCCGCTTCTAATTACGCCGCAACAGTTAATAACGGAAGGAGAAAAAATCCGAGCACATTTACCGTCTCATTTACAATTTCCAGTAGAACAAGATGATATATTAACTCTTTATAAGCTGAGCAAGTAACTGGGCAGGTATCAAGTGACCATGTAATATTCAATATTATGATACCACTCGTTGAACGAAAAACCTTTGAAATATTTCATGTAGTACCTGTGATCTCTAGCGCGACCAAGGTATTAACGTCAATAAAGCCATCAGCAGAATATCTGGCTATCAATTCTCACAAGGATGAATACTTCCCCATAACAAAATTAGCACTGCAATCGTGTATTACAACTGAAGAGGACTCATACCTTTGCTCAAATGTTCAATCTATTTATCGTCGTGGAGCAAATGTGTGCAAGTGTGAAATCAATTTGTACAATAATGGAACAGGTGACGAATGCGAAATAGTTGAATTAAAGGAAACTACCATTTGGACTCAGCTGAAACACAAAAATCACTGGATATACGCTACCAAATATCCGATGCAACTCAATGCAGTATGCGGTTCGAATGCATTTCCAGTGATACTAAATAGTACCGGCATGGTAAAAATTGCATCAAATTGTGTCATCAGAGACAACACGGTTCTTATTCAAGGACACCAAGTCATAACAAGTCTGCTCAAATCAGCATATACGAGCATAGGAATTTCAACACCTGAAATTAAGCCATCTAAGCGGATAAACAATTCTGAAATTGAATATCTTCCACAATTAGAAGAACTAACAATTCTGCAAAAACAACTAACGAAGGATACATTACCTGTACTATCATCAAAGGTACAGCAAACTGAAAAGCATAGCTTGTCAGTGGGGTACGCAGCCTTGTTTTTGATTATTGGAGTCATCATCTTAAAAATAACTAAACTAATACGAAACAATCAGACGCAAGGTCAACCGAATGTTCAGACACCTCAGCCGCTTCCAAGATCAAGGTCAACATTTGATATCACAACAACATAAAGATGACATCAGTCTAGTTGAATTAGAATTCAACGCGGGGGAGGATATGTTAAGTATTACATTAATAATTTATTTTGTCTTTTGCTGACCCATGATAAAATGCATTTAACGTAATCGTAATACATTAATAGGTTATATTTTTGCTGATTAGTGTTTATTTTATAACTAGGGCAAGAACACATTTTAAATAATTTATTATTCATTGTTATGCTAAATATTTTATGTAATTTGCTTGCTATTAATTACTCATTGTTTTGCTAAATATTTTATGTAATTTGCTTGCTATTAATAATTTATTGTTTTGCTGAATATTTTATGTGTCATTATAAGTAATATTTTTTGCTTGATATTAATTATTGTTTTAAATTGGGTCAGTAAATTATTGTACGTAATAAGTTTTAGTAAGTAATTATTATAAGAAAAATGTATATAAATAAATCAATTTTTTAATAAAGTGTATTCGATGATACAAATTTGAATAGCACTCATCTTCTTTTAATAAAATTACCAACGGGTTTATGTGCTCGGTGGTATCTTCACGATTATAAAAAATATACAAATATACCGTCCAACAAGTTACATGTGCTTGGTGGAATTCCGGTATACAAATACAAATTGATAGAACCTTGAGAATAAAAGCATTCTCAACACAATCTTCATTGGGTGCCTGCAACAAAAACAACAAATAGAGGTCGAGCCAGTGGAGGAAAATTGTATGGTGTACGAAAGCAATTGCAATTTTGCGGTACTGTGGTGTACCAGCACATTATGAACTTAACAATAATCGATATAACCACTAATAATCAAAAGTTATGTTTAATCCCAGTTTACCTAAATTGCAATAACTGGCTAAATGATCTCAATAACTTATGTGAAATATTAGTGAAAGCTCAGAACGAAAATTTCATGATAATAGGTGACTTCAATGTACGCATAGGCAAAGAACAATGTCTGGAACTCAGCCCAAATATGCAGTGGATTGAATTATTGGGCCACAGAGTAGCAATGGATACAATTGTAGATAGAAATGGCAAACAATTACTAGAAATTTGCAATTCATTTGGTGTCACCGTGTTAAATGGCCGCACTAAAGGCGACAGAGAGGGTACATTTACGATTATCAGAGGTGTAGCAAGGTCAATGATAGATTATTGTTTTGTGAAAGGAGTATGGTTAACAATAACTGAAGAGTTTCAAATACGTGACATGATATACTCGGATCATCAGCCACTGGAAATTATGGTAAATCTAGATGCCTCTAATTCAAATGAATATAAAATGCAGTTGCTACCGAAACTGATATGGAAAGATAAATATAAAGATCTGTACCAAGAAAAGCTTGAAGAATTCCTTAATGCATGCGAAGGTAGTACATTTGCGTCGAAGGAAGGAGATGACATTCTTCAATATTGTGTAAAACAAGCAGCAAAATCGTTTCAGGGTAATTCGGCGGGTATAAATAGGATACAAAAATGGTATGATTTTGAAAGTGAAACTGCAAGAAAGAAATCATTTAAATGGCTAAAAACAGTTAAAAAAGTTGGTGATATAACTGATTTAGAGAAATACAAAAATGTAAACAGAGAATACAAAAAGCTGTGTGATGAGAAAAGGAAGTCATATTTCAATGAAATGGCAATGTCGATATCCCAAGCAGCTGATAGTAAATAATTTTGGAGTGGAGTTAAAAAAATAAATCGTGCAGATTACATAAAAGGAATTAAAGTGGACCCCGAAGCTTTGGCGGCACATTTTAAAAACCAGTTAAATAGCAATATAGTAAGCAAGTCTTTCAGTTATGCCCTGCCGTATGTAATAAATGAAGCGTTAGATGGTCCAATAAAGATTGAAGAGGTCTATGCAGTGCTCCAGAATTTAAAAAATAACAAAGCCGCAGGTGAAAACAGAATTCCAGCTGAGTTTTTAAAATATGCCACGCCACAATTTATAGAGCATATGGCTGAATCATACAATTATATATTTGAAAATGCAGCCCCACCTGATAGTTACAAAAAAGCCATAACATTTCCCCTATTTAAAAAAGGTGACCCAAATAATGTAGCAAATTATAGAGGAATAGCATTTCTTAATACATCAGCTAAAGTATTTACAACACTCCTGTATAACAGAATTAAAAATTGGGTTGATCAAAACAACATATTAAGCGAATTTCAAGCTGGATTTCGAAAAGGTTACTCCACTGTAGATAATATTTTCGTCATCACTAGTGTAGCACAAGGGTTTATTGCAAAAAGCAAGAAGTTATATGTTTTTTACGTAGATCTAAAAGCTGCTTTCGATACAATACAAAGAAACGTACTATTTTACAAACTAAGCCAGCTGGGTCTTTCAACAAAAATTTTGAAAATACTGCAAAGTCTATACTGCAACAATGAGTCAACAGTATGGGACGGAAGAAGTACATCGAGATGGTTCCAAACGTGTACCGGAGTAAGACAAGGTTGTGTCTTAAGCCCTATATTGTTTGCACTGTTCGTTGATGACTTAAGTAAATTTCTTTCTGGTGGTGTTACGATTGCCAATATGTGCCTAAAAGTACTATTATATGCTGATGATATTGTGTTGTTTGCAGATTCTCCAATAATGTTACAAAATATGATAGATGAATTAAATAGATATTGCAACTTATGGGGACTATCTATAAATACAGACAAATCAAAAGTGATGGTATTTAGGAAACATGCTAGAAGATTGAGAAATGATGAAAAATGGTACCTTAACGATGATCAATTAGAAGTGGTTAATAATTATAAATATTTAGGAATAAATATGAAATATAACGCAAAATTCGATAACCACTTGAACGAGATGTTAAAGGAAGCTAAATTGGCTATTAATTGTACCTGGATAAATGTCTTAGGAAATCCGAAAGTGTCACTGCCCGTAAAATACAAAGTTTTTGAAGCCACAGTTAAGTCAGTTCTAAATTATGCAGCGCAAATCTGGGGTGTTGATAAATATGACGCAGTAGAAAAATTGCAGACATTTTATATAAAGAGAACGTTTCGTTTGCCGAAAAATACCCCAAATTATATGGTGCATTTAGAAACTGGTCTACCGACACTATATACTCAAACATTAAAATTGCATTTTGATTACATCAATCGTGTTAGGAATTTGCCAGACAATAGGATTCAAAAAACATTAGCGCAGTACCTAATAAATGAAAAAAAATTATTTTTTGAAAAATGGTCAAATCTGGCATCCGAGTTAAATATAACTAATGATTTGAGTATTAATGAAAACTGGAAAATGTGGCAAAAAAATATAATAACGAAACTAAGTATTGAAGAACGTAGAAATTTTGTAGAAACGGCAAGAAACAGTATATCGAGAGATGCATATAGTAAGTTGAATTATGATCTAGGTGTCAATAATTACTTTCACGAGCAATATAACCTAGAAACAATAAGGACAATCTTCAAAACCCGCGGCGAGCTCCTACGATTGTGCTACGTACCGCATGAAAGTATAGACACGCTGTGCACGATATGCAACCTTAAATTGAAAGGCGATGTTATACACTTAGTAGGTGAATGCCCAATTTTTAAAGAACATAGATTGCTGTACTTCGGTAAACCCGCGCTCGATGTTGTTGTGTATTTTTGTGGAAAAACGCGAGTGTGCCAAAATGTTGAATTCTTTATTTCAAGTTTTGGACGAAATGTTTCAGTTGCACTTGTTTATAGCTAATTTTTAAAAGGTCCTTAGCTATTATGAAAACACTTGAGTTTAATTTCACAATTTAATTTTATTAATTTTATTTATGTTATAATTTATATTCTTTGGATTTCTTTTAAATTCAGTCACACACGACTTATTTGTTTAACATTTGTTGTCAGCGCTACTACGCTTGATCATTTTTTATATTTGGCTAAGTGTACAGTATATAAATTTTAACCACTACTTCGTTTAACCACTGTTTTTTATAATTTTCTATTTCTACACAACTTTCAACTCCCGTCTTTGACTCCTCTTTGACTCTTAATTTTTACTCCAACTTAGACTCTAACTTAGACTCTAACTTAGACTCTAACTTCCACTTCAACTACAACTCCAACTGCAACTTAACTACAATTACAACTCCTCTTTTGTGGTTTTAAATCTATCTTATATACCCAAACTTGATGCAAAAATCCAATATATGACCTTCAAATTACCCTAATTGGGTTTTTTTCATAGTTTCATAATTTACTTTGCTAAATTTGCAAAGTTTTTATTATTAATAAGAATGCTCTACATATTTTTGCAATTCTTCCGTATTTACAATTTCAAAGTCACTTACATCGTGACACCAATTATTAACCAAATACCAAAACTCAGCATTTCTTATCGTCGAACTGACGGTCTGCTGCTTTGGTTCTAGTCAACAACTGCCCAGATGCAAATAACCTTGCCTATTTTTAGGGAAAATGTACGATCACCTAAGATCGTACACACTACCATACAGAAAAATTGCCAAAACCCGTGAAATTAAATAAAATAAATATTTAACTCACAACATTCCTTCCCCCTATGAAGAACATTGTGGCACACAATGTTATATATCTAACGGTCTATATTAAACTTGCATCAAATTAGGTTTACATTTTAAATTTTCAAATTTTAAAATCTTAAATCTTTAATACATTTTAATTTTTTCATAAAATTATTCTTATATGTATTATAAAAAAATAACAATTTGTATACGTCAAAAATATTTCCATACATCTTTACTCTTTATAAACTACTTATTAGTTAAAAACTTGTTCTTTAAGAAATGTTTACTCTTGAAATTTGTAAATTTCTTTATTATGATTCTTATTATAAACTACTTATTAGTCAAAAAGTTTATTCTTATTAAAATATTTTAAGAAATGTTTACTCTTGATAATTGAAATTTGTAAATTTCTTTATTATTGTGCTCTGTTGTTTATTATGATTGTTATTATAAACTACTTATTAGTCAAAAATTTATTTAGATTATAATAAATAATGAA